CCACCCCGATGGCCCTTGGCCTTAAAAATGGGAATCACCAGCCAAGGCTCACGCCCTGACTGCCAACAAGAATAAAGAAGACTACCCATCGGGTACGTTCTATAGCTACGGGGATAACCGTTCAACGGCTGATATAGCTCACATCGAAGGCTACATGGTTCACATGCATACTCTGATCATACCACAATAAAAACAATAATAACAGTAATAACATTTACAGCATAGCCAAATTTTCAAATAAAACCCACCTGGAGACAGCAGTTATAAGCACTAACAATAATGGGTAGGCGGCGAGCTCGGCTCGTCAAGCACCTACAATAAGTCAAGATAATAAGGTCAATACTTATCTTGACCCTAGAAGAAGGACACAAATCATACTTGTTCTAACTTGATTCAACCAAGTCGTTCGTGAAGTTCTGTGGACATTGAAATACTTGGACTCGACTCGAAACCAATTATGGGCAATTACACCATTTTCAGCACAAAGGTCATATAAGATTGAAACAAGTTGGAAAATAATCCTAACTCACGCTACTACAACTTTCATGAAGACATTTACTGTAAACAAGGTCATTTACACACATATATATCAGCAAACATTACAACCATAGATGCAGTCCAAATACAGTGTCATGGTTCCAGAAAAATTAATGCACATGAAGCTACTGACCTCCTATCCAAACAATTCCAACAACATCTGAAAGCTAACTCAATAATAAGCAATTCTCATGAATACATCTAAAACAAATAAGGTCAGCATCATATGATTGGAACCTTAAATATCTATTGCATAGAGACTGCCAACAAAACAATGCTCACACTTGCAGCAGTTAAGCAAATTCTAAATATCTAAAGCTTCAGGCATGATGTCAATAAGATTCAAAATCCAATGGAAAGCTAACTCAACATGGAACAACTTTGATGAGGACTACTTAAGCAAATAAAGTCATCATCACCGAGTTACGTGTAAAACATTAAGCATGAGAAACCTGCCATAAATTCTAGAATCTTCATGCATAGCTGACTTACAAAATCATATAAAATCCAATTCACCTCCTTTTTTAAAGATTACAAAACTCACTGAATTTTAACTCAAATATCTATAACTTTCATATAGATTTTTATTTTTTTTTTCCAACGATAGATATAATCTCATATCACAAAATAAAAGAACAATCGGAGGACTCACTAGTCCTTACAAAATCAAATGGAGAGCCACTCCTAGTAGGTGGCCTAGACCAAACACCAACAAAGCACTAAAGGCATAGACAAAGCTATGAGACCTACAACACTGCAAAATAAACCAAACCAAAACAAAAACTAACACGAAACACCCCCAAAATGGTAATTTAACGACCCCCAACGGAGTAATGAAACAACCCCCAACAGAGTAATGAGATACTGAGGCCAACCGGCCCAAACAAAAAACACAGACCTAAACAGCACAAACATAGACAACCAAAAACAAAAGCTAAAATGGAAGAAAAAACACAAACGAAAGATAAATTAATAATGCCCTTCCACAGCAATCAGCCAGTCCTAACCAGTGGAGAACAATCGAATCAAAGCATAGTCCAAGTCTAGGAGACGACTCCCAAAACTGCCACAAAGCCTATACTAAAAGCCGAGCCCAAACCCAAACCAAACTCCAAAAGCGACTCGCCTCAACCGAAGGGACAACCACAACAGCGCCCACTCTTTCATCGCCCAAGCATGCCTAACACCACTAGCTGAGCTTAGGAGCGCCGAAACCCTGTCGTCTATCACCACTAGCCGAAACAGGGGGAGCGGTTCGGGCCCTCAACTCCAACACACCATCGGAGCCCCATCCCTCCTCACAACCCATAAACTAGCCACATTCACCACCGACCACCGGCACCAGGAAAAACCCGAGCTGAGCTCTGCCGGAAAAACAGAACCGCCCGAGTGGCCTCCAATCGCACTCAGAATCAACAGAAAAGAACACGAGCAGAGACAGAAGAAGAACTCACCTCCAATCGATACCGGCTACCAGCTATACCACCCATAGCAAACCGGACGAAGAACAAAAAGCTCGCCTCCTCCTATCTCAACTTCACCGGCGAACAAAGGCATGACCTACCTGCAGGCTCTCTGCGGCAAAATCGAGGGTCTGGGGCAGCAGAGGATGGTCGGCGGTCGAGCACGACCACCCGCCGGCGCCGCACCGCCGCTGAGGAAGGCTGCACGAGTTACAAGAGAGGAACGCTAGTGTTTCGATTTAGGGGAGATGGCTGCGCGAGTTTTGTTTATAACTTTCATATAGATTACTTAAGCCAACAATAACATTAAACCCAAGTTTAAGCATGAAACACTTAGGTCAAGAAATCTGCCAGAATAACCATTTATC